AAGTGCATGTTGCTGCTTTTGTGGCTTAGTTAACCGAAGTGGCCTATGGTTAACCGTACATACATCACACGGTTAACCATAAGTAACAACGTTCCGCCCACAGGCAACGACGAGTACAAATTTTTTTGCAATCTAGTGTCTTCCATCTGTCTCGCACGCCTGCTTCGAATTAGGTAGCAGTCGGTCAAATGAAGACCACCTCACACTAGAATGACTGAATTTGTGTTTTTTTTAAGGCATCTTCAGCCGAACCAGTTCCACCTTGAGAAGTCAAATTGGTTTTCCGTCGCAATTTTTAAACTCAACTTTTTGACGTTTTGTTTTATGAGCAACGTGACAGCTGGCTGCCATCTTTGTGGAGTTAAAAAAAAAAAAAAAAAAAAACCACGAAATGCGCACTTCAAGCCCCACCCAAATCCTTCAATACAACATTCAAAACAAAAGCAAGCGCATCATGAACGTCTCCGATTTATTTCACTGCCCACACCACTCTTCTCACCAATAATGTTGCATTTGGGCTACCGCGTTTTTAGGGCCTATGCTGTGGTTTGAAACGTGACAGTAATTTTGACGAGTCGACGCTGCTCAAAATTTCAGCACGTCCAAGCTTATTGGTGCATATTTTTAACTGAAACATGCCAGCCAAATTTTCCCCGGGGAGCCGCTAAAGCCAAAGAGTTTTAGGGAATATCACAAGATGTAATCAAGTTGCACTAATTTTACTGTCGGTTAAAGTCATTTTGGACGAGATCCCCAAAAGGGCGTTTTTATATTTCCCACACAAAGTACTCAATCATCAACTCAATTTTCTAAATTGTTGTTGTGTTGTTTTCAGGTTGAAGTGGCCATTCCAAACAGACTTTGTCACTTGTCACTTCACCACAAAATTCCACCCCCACAAAATTATATAGCAATCGAAAAAAAAAAAATCTCTGAACTCTTTTTTTTTTTTTCTCTTGATAGACCCGTCTCGAAATGGCCGATGTTGGAATCCTATTTCTTCGCAATTCCATATTTCCACGCCGATTTGGAAGCATTTTTCATTGACGGAGCCTCACTGGTGGCGCCGTTAATCAACGTCCTATTCCTGGTGCGCTAATGAACAATCATTGGCAGGGCCGAGTCCCCTTTCAAGTCGTCACTAATTGGAATTATGATTCGGGTTTCCGGCGAGGATCGCAGCCCAACATGCAACGCCAGTCAGCCAACAGTTCTAATTAAGCCGGGGCTCCTCTCCTTTTCTTGTGTGCCTAAAACCCCCTTTTGTGAGCGCACACAATGTGGAGTTTGTTTCTCTCGGCATCACAAAAGACGCTTTTTTTTTTTTTGCATATCACAATGCCGCAGATAGCAAGCGGGCAGCCCTCAAGAAAACGCCGCCGTTTGTTCAGCCCATTTATCCCGACACTGTTTGTTTCCTCATATTTGTAAAGGGGAGGTCAGAGTGGAGGTTTTTAGCCGCTTGGTGAAACTTCATCAATATCAGCCTGCTGATACGCCGTGGCGAAAGGATGTCAGAGGAGGTTAATGACGTCGCCTAAATGCTCCTTTTCTTTGCACTTGAAAATGCAGTGCGGTTATTGTGCGGCGTGCATCGGGATTAATTATCACCCCAGCACCACCCAACCTCACCCTGCACGTTAAATATTCAGAGAGGAACTGCCCCCCCCCCCCCCCGCCCTCCGCCTTTCATGCAAATGAAATTAAACATGTCAGTCAGCGCGATTGTATGAATCCGCCTCTCCCTCCAACTCGGAAGGGATCCGAAAGTGGCTTTATTGGCCGCTCTTTGATTCATGTGCTTTCACGGGCCTGCGTCGGGCCACTTGGAAATGCTGATGAATGATTTTGCCGACCGACTTAGGCTATAAGTTGAGCTCGCGTCAAATCAACTTTTCATGGAGGCGCACGTGCCAAAACTCTGTTTGCTGCGTGACGCCAGCCACGCTGCGGGTTGCCCCTTGGCCCCGGCGAGAAATATGCACAAATGCGAACGTCGGATCGGATTCTTGGAGTCAAAAAAAAAAAAATCAACCCAACGGGTTGCAGCACGTCATCGGGTAATGGAGATGAAGCAGCATGTGGCTCATTATCCAAGGTGACTATTAACAATTGCTGTGGTCACAATGCAGCTCGTTTGCTTTGAATAATCGCTCCTCCCTTTGTGCTCGTAATAATATCTCAGTCAGAACGGGTGACGCAGCATGCAGGTCCTTATTCAAGGTTATTTTTTGAAAACAATAACTTGTGCATTTTAAGAGACCCAAGGCCACTCAACAGTAACCCATGGAATTAAAATGTGCGTGTTAGTTTGTGTGAGAGTATGTGTGTGTCTTTGTATCCATGTTTCTGACCATATACTCGAGTGAACAGATGGTGCCTGAGGAGGGTTTTTTTTTTTTTTTTTTAATGTCCTGGGAAACAGTATCACAGGTTTTTGTAGGTAGGCAAAATCCGGGCAGTAGTCAGCGTGATTGCTTCTAAAGGTTGTCTTGAGAAAGACAAGTCGACCAATGTTCAACGGCCTGTTATCGTCCACACGTCCATCGCTGATGAACACCATTTTCGGGTAAAAAAACGATGACACATGCATCACAACCACAACAAAAAAAAACCCACACATTAGTCATGGCCACATCCCATTTCGCCTTCGAAACAGGAATTTAGGAGTAATTCGAAGAAATCGAAGCTCTTGCTTGTGTGCACCTCACGCGTTCGTCTCTTGCCTCAAACCAACGCAACTGCTAATCAACATGCACCACTTTCTGCCACTCAATGCAGCCCTCAAATTTAACAACAGGGGGCACAGTAACCTAAATAAGCTAATCAAGCCAAAAAAAGTAAGGTGCATTATTTTAATTTGACCATGAACTTAGAATCACAAGTTACAGTCAGCTTTGTTATTATTATTATTAATTATTATTCTACAATACTGTACTACAGACTGAAGACAAATATCAAAACCTGTTTTTGTTGCTAATGTAAATTTGGAAAGCTGTACAGAGACAAGGTGCGGAGACAGTTGACATTGGTCGACAGTTCCTTCGCCAATCAGGATGCAGAACATAATGCACTGTAAAAGAAAAAAATAACACAAAAAAGAATCCGTGAAAGGTCCACCACATTATAGCGAGGGTTCACTGTCATATTTTTATGTAGTTTCGATTAGTATTGAGCGCTCTGCTCCTGGTTACTGTTTACAATTGAACCTTTGCTCCCACGGGAGGCTCATTGTTTAGGATACGGTATGTGGGACAGCCTTGGCAGAGAAGCTTGTGTCATGGATTGCTTGCATTTGCTTTTGTGCAATGTTTACCAAACTGCTTCGGCTTTAAGTTTACATGATCAGGATTTTGGAGCCGATCACCGATTAGCAAGTTAAAAAAAAAAAAATTAAAAAAAAAGAGAATCAATCACTGATCCAATCAGGTGATGGACCAATCGATCCAATTGATTTAAAAGTAACTTGTTTATTGAATCTACTTAGGACTAGCCATGGAATACCTAAAATGCATGCAAACTTGAAAGAATTCGAATCCAATGGGGGAAAAAATAAATAAAAACAATTACACCCTGAAAATTCTCCCCAAAACGCAAATAAACATTCAGTACAGAGAAAATAAAGAAAAAAAAGAAAAAAATATATATCATTCCAAATATTGAAGAAAATATTGAACCAAAATCTGACTGTATATGCTGAGAAATCTCTAGATGATGAACAATGGCAGCACAGAATGTCCCTGGAGTGAATGAAATTGGGTTTGCTAGAATTTCTTACTTTGCAGCTGCGATCGAGGAGGTCATTGATCGAGATGACCTTACACACCATCGCCGACAGTATTTTGGTATGAAGTGCAAACTACGTGCATACCTGTGCATACCAAAGACTGTAATTTGTGGAGCCAAGTGTTTTTGTAGAGGGTACTTGAAGTTTGAGACCCTCTGTCTTCGCTCCATTTGACATGCGGCACTTCAGCATACATCCTTGACACTATTTACTACTTTCCTATTGTTGACCCCATTGTGTGGCAAAAGCACGGAAATATGGAGATATTCCTCGGATAGGTGAATTTATGTTGCAAAAAAAAAAAAAAAAGGAATCAGTGAATTTGTGACTAGTGAAGGGGCAATAGGCGACTCGGCTGCATTGTCGCAGGGCTGGCACGCCGACAATGGGGCAAGCGATGGCGATTTGGCCAGCCGTGTCTGTGAAAACGCCATTACCTTCACGTCACGCCTCAGTCACGAGCCCATTGTGTACGCACCACCTCCCCGCCCCCACCCCCACGCACCGTATCAATTGCCCGTCGGCTCCCTTTCAGGTCCCGCCACGCCAACCGATGACGTAGAATCTTTAGCGCGTGGACGATTCAGGGGGGAGACGTCACGGTGATATCCCGCACTCATTTGCGGGAGCGTCAGAGGCCCAGCTGCCCGTCTGTTTATCGGCGAGTCCGGCGGGTTAATTTGTTCCTCGCTCCCAACGCCGCCGCCATCGCAGCCGCACACACACACACACACACACACACACACACACAAACAGATGAGGGACTTTAGATGGCGGGCGTTACCTCATGGCCTGCCGCAAACAAAGTGATTGATAAAAGGAGGCCAGTGGCCCCCGCGGGAGGACAGATGGAGATCACCTTCTAATAAATCTGACGCTCAGGCTTTTTTGCCGTCATATTGAAGCGTGTGGGATCAAAAAAACAAGAGTATGTGTGATCCAATTACTACTTATTATATTTATATCATACAATCATGAATACATATGTACATTTTTTGGCAATTTTTAAACATAGACAATGCACCCTGAATCGGTTATACTGTATTACGTACTTTTGTTTACCTTTTTTATTTTATTTTTTCCACTTCCGACATTTATGGATCATCCAATAAGACTGCTGCCCCTAAGAAACAACATAAAGCAATGGTTGATGTCTACATCAGAAATATTCCTTGGAACTGAACGCTGCATCTTCTTTTTGTGTCTCCCGCAGCGCCACCAAAGTTTTTACGGACGCCCAACGACCAAACGGGCGTGCAGGGCGGCGTGGCCTCCTTCATCTGCCAGGCCACGGGCGACCCGCGGCCCAAGATCGTGTGGAACAAAAAGGGGAAGAAAGTGAGCAACCAGCGATTCGAGGTATTAGGTCTATTGTTCTGATGTAAAATGCTCGCTGACAAACACTTGGCGCTGCTTTTTGGGCTGCTGCACACGCACGCACAAATGCAAATCCAAGCTCAAAGCTGCCACGAGGCAAGAGAAGCGGCCTTTTTTTTTTTCTCCCCCTCCCCTCCAACACGCGTGATGCTCAGACTTAGATTACATGTCATGTTCATAGCAGGAAGCGTTGTGTTCCATTAACGGGAGCTCTCCTTTGGGTCCTGAGAAACACAAATCATTGATTTTCAAGATGGGTTTCACCATTCACTAACCTAAATCTGGCACCAGGCAAAAAAAAAAAGTGTTACCAATGTTTTCTTGAATCGAAAACAATCAGTATATAAAAGCGATATATATATTTTTTGGTATTTTATTAGGTCATTGGTCATGAGCACGCATCCAACAAAGGATGTTAAAAATGTGATTAAAAAATAATAATCATGTCATTTTAGAATAACTCGGCAATTGCTAAAATTCTTGGCTTTATTTCTAAAAAATGATTTTTAAAAAAATATTTTTAAATGCTTTAGTTTTTGTTGTTAGATTTAAAAAAAACAACATTTAGTTTTATTTTAAGACACTTTTTTTTTTTTTTTAAATAACAAATGCGCTGTTTTCTTTTGCTCCATGGCAGCTTGCTCCAAACGTACGCCACATGGACAAACACGCAGCCACATTTGGACCAATGTCACTCAATTTTTTTCATCCACTGCTTCAGCTATAAAGGGAGTCGGCGATTATACGTTTGTTTGTCCATATAGCGTACTGTACACCCAAACATCATCATTTTTTTGGCTGTAACGCGGATACGCACTCCATTCTCATGTGCGACGTGTCACGGCAGAGCTCTGATAAGACTTGTATTAATTTCCTGCGTCAACCCCCCCCCCCCCCCCCCCCCCCCCCCCCCCCCCCCCCCCCGGGACTCCAATGCTGTCGCTGCAATGCCTTGAACATCTTATCAGAGTGGATCGCATGGCTCTTTGCGCCGCATGCCGACGACGTTCATCCCTTGACACCAACATTTCCCTCGCCTTCCACCAGCTTACAAGCATGGCCAAAGAAATGTAAAATGAAATGAATGAAAAACGTATTCGATGACGCTATCCTTGTTGACCGTGCGAGTGTATGTGTGTGAGTATACTGCTCCCAAAAAGTTTCAGATAGTTTTTTTTTTTTTTTTTGGGTGTGAAATTTCAGGCTGAAGCTAAAACACAGTATAACTTTCACTGGTGAACTTAATTTGACCTTCTCTAAACCTTGGAATGTCCAATTGCTCATTGTTTCAGTACCCTTTTTTTTATTTTATTTTTTTACTTGCAATGAGCTGATTGGCCAAAATTCTTAACCCCCTTTTTGATGCATTAACGTTCCCCAACCTTTCAGTATCTCTTTGATTTTTTTTTTTTTTTTTTTTGTAGTACCGGTATATGTTGTGGGCCGCCTGAAATAGAAGAAGGTGCAAAAATCGGCCCGACGTCATAGTTTAACCCTTCGATGCACCCTGTAACCTGATCACATGATCAGCTGTCCACTGTAGTAACCGCTGTCCCTGAAAGGGTTAAACGCCACTGCTCTACCTCAGTGGTCACACGAGTTTACACAACGGCAAATGAAGTTTACCCGCGACGGTTGTATCGCATTCCGGGTTCATCGTGAAATGTAACCCCAAAAACCAATCTGCCAAACAATTTCCGAGCCGTCCGTGTGTGAGTGGGTGAATGCAGAAGCTTTGATTTGTTGAAACCCAAGTTTTGAGTTATGACACAGGGCTTTCTAGACAACAGTGAGTACCCAGCGCGGAGCATGACCACGCTATAATAAATAACGTCTTGTTTTTGTTTGTTTGTTTTTGTGGGCATTCTTTGTCTCGTCCGTCCGATGAAATTGTCTCTTTCTGTGGCGCTACGTCAACTCATGGTACAAACGAACTGTTGCTCAGGCAACCACTGACTGTCTGTGCTTCGTTTTTGTCTGACAAACAGTTTTAGGGCCACGCGGAAAAGGACAAAAAAAAAAATTGAGGGGCACAAAGGCAGAACTGCGGGTATTGGGATTGGGCTTTAATGACGCTAATATTGTATTCTACGGCGTCTGCTGCCAGCTTTTAGCGGCTAGCGGTGCTGGCAAGAATTGTCGGATTATTTTTCAAAGGCAGTTTATTAGATTTAAATGACCGCACACTTCGATGCCGACAGCCTTGCCACAGTTGCCGTTTCGACTGATCACCGTTTCCCAAAGCGGACTTACTCAACTGTGCCGTTTTAGCCCTCAAAGTGGCGTCTGTTGTCGTGGTGTCACTTTGCCAACAAGCGTCGCGTTTACGAGCTCGTACGTTTCAGTATTTAGCCCGGCGCGCTCGTTACAACCCCTCAACAGCCGCACTCAACGATAAAATGCAAAACAGTTCGTGACACCGTCGTGTCTTTATCTGTTTCGACAGCCTGTTAAATAAATCATCAAATAGCGTGTTCGTTTAGCACGTTTTAATCACGTGCAACTGATGTGTATGTTCAAATTAAGGAAATCCAAAGCAAACCCCGCTGGCACTCTCTTCGAAAAAGGAGCGGTGCAAGTGGAGCAGCTTGACCAAACGAGTGGAAAAGAGGGCAACTTGAATGTTGATGTTTTTTTAGTGTAGAGAAAAGGTGTCAAACTCAAGGCCCGGGGGCCAGATCTGGCCCACCACATCATTTTATGTGGCCCGCGAAAGCAGCTCAAACATTTCAACTTCCATGATCCTTTCTAAAATGTCGATCAAAATTTTAAATTCTCACATGTAATGAATAAGAGATAGCTTCGAAGCATTTTCTTGTTCCCAAACCCCTCATGATAGCAACTTAAACAATAGTTAAATCAACAGTCATTCTTGACTTCTTTCGATGGTTTCAGTCATCACGGCCCTCCAAGTGAAACGGTAATTAAAATGTGGCCGGCGCCAAAATTGAGTTTGACACCCCTGGTGTAGAGTAAGACTTCTAGTCTTAACAACATGCACTTGCACAAACGCGACCGGATGATAATAACGCACACGAGTAAATCGGATCACCGTATTATATACGAGTACAGATTTAAAAAAAATAAAAAATAAAAAAAATCTGGTTGATTGTGGGGGGTTGTTTTATACACGGATGCATATTATACGCGTGGTTTTACGATCCTTGTGTGATTCCCGAATGTGTTTTTTCGTAAATGTTACGACTTTATTCACGCAGGTTTTTAAATACAATTTTAATCTTGTCGAATGAAACCGTGAAATATTACTTTTGTCTGGTCGTTCTATGACTTTTATCGTAGCATTACGACCTTTTCGTTGATCCCTTTTCAGCATGGCCCTTCTCCTACTTTGTCCCATTGACACGCATTGTTTCAGGGTGTCCAGTGTTAGCTTTAAGAATGTGGGACACGCTGCAATTGACATGTTTCACCCTCTAAACTATATTTTCAAATGTGCCCGTTCTTAAAGTTAGACAAGCACTTAGTAGTATGACTACTGTATGTCAAATTGATATTTTCTGTGTGCTCCAGTGCCGTCCTAAAGAATACTGCAGTATAATTCTCGGAGAAGACTAGAGTGTGACACTGTGTCGCCATCACATGTCCCGGCTGTGTGTTACCTGTGTGTACGGTGGTCCCGCGTCGATTGTAACCCCCGCCGCAATTCTCCTTTAACACACCGTGTCTCTCGCACCTGCAGGTGATCGAGTTTGACGACGGCTCCGGCTCGGTGCTGCGCATCCAGCCGCTGCGCACGCCGCGTGACGAGGCCATATACGAGTGCGTCGCCTCCAACAGCGTCGGGGAGACCAGCGCGACCACCCGGCTCACCGTTTTGCGTGGTACGTCCCCACTTGGTCAAGGAAATCCGTCGTTTGTAGCCGCAATTTTCACCGTACGCGCTCGTACTTTGACTGTAGCGGTTTAATGTAACTTATTCACTGCCGTGAACGTTGATCATTGTCAATTGGTAGAGTGGTTGACATCCGATCTGGCTGATAAAACTTTTTATGTTCGCCTGAGTCCCAATCTGCCCCATTGTCGTAAATTTTGGTGCGCCTGCCGCTTTCGTTGTATTTGCTACCCGTGGGTTCCATATTAAGAAAGTGTGGTATTTCCTTCGACAGTCAGAACTGTGTCCTGCTGAGCCAAAAGGATAATTTCTGACTAAAGCCGCTTTTGTCCTGTCTGGAGGAAATCAAGGCCTGGAATGACACTGAAATGACTGGATTTCAATGAAGAGAAAACCGAAGTTAGCATGTTTGTTAACCCTTGTACATCCCACTTTGCCGACTTAGGCCCCTTGGGCGCCTTATCTAAAGCCAAAAGTCTCAAATGTTTGAAACTGGACAGTGTTATTCGAATGTGCTTTATTTTGGAGACAGCTAGTACTCCCGAAAGCATTTCCAGTTGGTCCAAAATGCTGCTGCTTGCCTCCTAACTGGAGCTTGTCGGCGGGACCACATACCGTAACTCAAATTCTTGACTCAAATTCGACAGTTCACTGCCGTCAACAAATACATATTTCAGACAAATTTTTCAACGGATAGACGTGGAGAAAGAGCTCGACCAGTTTGTCCGACAATATCGAGCTTGGAAATCACTGCAATGACAAAAACATCCCTGTAGATGGCAACGTTACAGCGCTTTGGATTTGAGATCAACAGAGCACATCTAACATACCAACACAACAAAACACAACAAGTTTAGATGTGTTTAAAGTAGATAGGAGAGACAAAACTGTTTAAAAAGAAAAGCATGTAAATATAATATGTACTGTATCACTCGTGATGAATGAAGCTTCACTGTCCGTTTTTTTTTTTTGTTGTTGTTTTTTTTGTTTTGTTTTTTTTGCGCCACGTGGTAAGTCCATGAGCCATTTAGTCGAGTAAGTTTCTTCTGGGTTTGAAGTCATTTGCATACATCCTGACACAATAATTAAGATGCCAGTTAAATTATGCAAATAGACGTCTGTTCCTTCACCGGCGGCTGTTTTTAATGCTTTCAAATTAGCTGTGCTGTGACTTGACCGTGTGAAGCGAGCCAAGACTTCTGCTTTTATGTACGGAAATGATAAAAATGCCCCCTGCCAAGTCTGGTGGGGGGGGGGGTGTTCCGGAATAAGGTTAAGGTGTGTTCAAAAACCCTCGATTGAGTGATAAGTCTGTCTCATCGACGTTTTTCTCATGTTGTAAAATTGGGGTTGCCCAAGAAACACAAAAACAAAAAACTTGAAAGGCAACGCAGACTTCGGCCAAGGTGGACCAATGGAAAATATGTGAATGCAAAATGTAGAAAGGTGTAGGAGAAAAATGACGTGACATTCCTCCGGCAAGTCTTAAAGGGACAGCAGTGAGAGGCAGATGCTCGCGGCGCTGTGGACAGTTGGGGGTACCAAAAAAAAATCAGTTGAAAAATTCACCTACAATATAATTAGACATACAAGAATTATTACTATCCATCCATCCATTTTATGATCAGTTTATCATCAAAAGAGTCGTGGGGCATGTTGGAGCCTATGTTCGGGCTATCGACGGGGCACAACCGGAACCAATTGCAGGGCACAATTAAACGAACAAGCATTCACGTACACAGTGACAATTTAGAGGGTTCCGTTAGCCTGCCATGCATGTTTTTGGAATGTGGGAGGAAACCGGAGCACCCGGAGAAAACCCACACACTCAAAGGAGAACATGCAAACGCCACACAGTAAGGCCGGAACCAAAATCGAACCCTTGATCTCTGCACTGTGACGCAGACGTGCTAACCAGTGAACCACCGTGCCACCGAATTACTACTAATGACCTTTAATTTCAAGTCGAAAGGAAAGAATTACCAACTCCAGACATATTTGTTTTTTGTGTTCTTGGTCCAATCTGGCTCTTTCAACATTATGGGTTGGTGACCCCTGATTTAGACCATTATTTGTGAGAGGGTGATGATATGCTAATCCTTAAGGCGTTATGAAATAATACCCTTCTCTTGCTTCACCCCCTCTGGCGCCACCCGTGCAAAATAAATTTCAACGGTCAGCCATTTTGTTTTGTATCTTAAACTTGACTGTAATGGCACAGGTGGCTTTGGAGAGTGGCCGCCTGAGTGTCGTGCACTCCATTTTGTGCCACAATTACACAAGGCGTCAAAAGAGCTCCTACTGAGAGCAGGCCGTGTCTGCGCCGGTCCTCCCGCCATTACCAACCGCCTTATCTCCCCAGCGAGCCCACAAAAGGCCGATTGGGAGAGAGGCGGCGTGACCACTTTGCACAATATTTTGCACATTTCGCACGCGAGGAAATAACATGCCTTCGCGACTCCTGCCGGGTCCGCCACCGACTAGCATTAACATCTTGATTGCCATTTCCATTTGCCCATCATTGCAGCACAGACGGGAGAAATCTGTTTCGGTTTTGTTGCTTGCGTGCACGTGAGCATCTTTGTAGAAAATACGTATTACACAGCTTGAGCTACTAACAACATCGGCCCGTTTTTTCTGTGATGCAGTCAATACGCCGGCATTGCTAAATTATGCTGCATTCCAATCAGAATCTGGAACGTGGGATCCACACAGGAAGGTCGCAGCCCGAAATTGAAGCCAGCACCTCTTAAGTGTCAGGCGCATGTGCTGGATACATTGAAAAATAGAGAAACTTAGCATTTTTAAGAATGAACAACAAACCCCAAAGAGGAGCTAAACACAACAAGAATCTGAAAAAAAAATCACATCATAAGAAAGAACGGCATATATTTTCAAACAAACTAAAGGAAACATTCAGCTCTTGGACGGCTGTGTTTCCGGCAGAATTGATGTGCGCATCGGGCTGTTGGAGTTCATGATTCAGGCATGATTAAGGATTTATATTGCATCCTCATACCCCTATTATGCTGTCAACAACCATTTCCTGCCTGCGTACGCACACACGCGCGCGCACACACGCACACACAAATAGCAACAAACTTGCGTTGCTGTGTACAAGTCGACAGCGAGAGCGGAAAATGAGAAGGCGCTCTCCTGTGACGGAAAAAACAGAAACCATCAATTCCATTTTGCCAGCGACGGGTGAGGTTGTGAGGAGGGTGCGGGGGTGAACGGGAGGGTTGTAACGATGACGACACACACACACACAGAAAAAAAAAAAAAAAAAGAAAGCTTGGAGCTACATCATTCTGCGTACAATAGACGCAGCGGCGACATGAGCGGCGATTATTCCGAAACAATGAGCACTCTTTTGTCACTATTTTCCAAGCGGGAATAGAGAGCAAAGGCAACCTCGTTTGACTTAACAAGATTGAGCACCTTTGTCATGAAACGTGCTCCCATGGCAGCGCACCGAAGATGCTTGCTTCACGAGCAAATATGTCATTGCATTGTTGTCAGGGAGGGCCAGGAAACAAAATAAATAAAAAGAACTTGAAAGAATTTAAAAAAATAAATAAATGAAAACAATTGAAAATATGATCTGAAAATAAAAAAAGCATTTTTTATTCATCGATTACTTAAAAAAAAAAAAAGGAAGTACTAAAAAAATCTAAGTGGAAAAAAAATGACAAAAAACAAGTAATGGTTAACTGAGATTAAAACTGTTCAGATTAAAAAGGGCAAGAAAAAGGATAAAATTTAAATAAATTGAACTCGATAAAGCAAAAAAAAAAAAAAAAAGAAAGCAATACATTTTCTTTAATGGAACTAAAAAAATATTCCCAAAGGAACAAGGCAAAAATGAAAACAAAATTATAAAACAAGAAATCATTTAAAAATGAAGAAAATATATATTTATTTAAAAAAAAACTCAATCAAGGAACTAAACTATGAATGGGAAATGGGGAAACATTTTTTTAATTAAAAAGAAAAAACAAAAAAACAAAAGAGGAACTAATTAAAAGATGCAGAAGAGGAAATGAAACTAATCTCGAAAGGTAATTATAAAATACATAAAGCTGTATTCATTTGGAATAAATACTCCTAAAAAGCATTGCTTGTCAATTACCACAACCATCTTCGTCCATCCTCATCTCAGTCCTACGTCCACAATGGACAAGTTAATCATGACTGTAATTAAAAAGATGGAGACCCGCTGTCCCCGCAGATACTGAACTGCTTGCTGAGCCAAAAAGTGGGGGGCGGAAAAAGAACTAAACAAAACCCCTCTTTGAATATTATGTGGTAAATCAAGGCAGTCCAATCAGAATCTGTAAGCTATGGCGAGTGATTTAAAACCAAGCGGCTGCGGGCGAGATTGATGTCAGACTTCTCAGCCGCTGGGAAAAAAACCCATAAATGGCGCTTCGGAATATCAAGACGGCCCCCGTCACGTTATCATTGAAGCCGCCTGTCTTATGAGTGACTTATTTTAAAAAAAAAAAAAAAAAAAAAACAAGACAGTGATTCGAAAGGAAATTTCCCAATTCCCAAGATTGGAAAAAAACAAAAGCAAACTAAAACTACATTTCATGTTTATAAAAATAACACTGTAATTCTGGCCCATACACGAGCTTTCAAGGCTCATTATAAATCTGTGTATTGTGGTATTGCGCAACATCCATGTGGAAGAATGAACGTCAAACCGTCATTTGAGAATTTTTGTTTACTTTATGACACCATACTTAGTCACCTTTTTGAAAATATTATCTTGCACTCGACCTGACCAATACTACATATCGACTAAAATGACTACAAAAATTAATACCTCAACTCAAATTAAGCATTTTTCTAAAAAGAAAAAAAAAGCAACAAACCTACCCGAGAATTCAAACGAATACTTAAAAAATAAATAAATAAATAAATAAATACATTTTTGAAAAGGAAAAATTAAAAAAAAAAAAAAGGAAAAATGAAATTCGGATCCAACTTCTCTCATTAATTGTTCTCAGTATTTTCGATTGATTTGTTTGCTTTCCCAGCCCAAGTTGATTTTAGCTCAGCCAAGTGCGGGTTTTCAGCCGCAGCACAATTCAACACGGCTGTCACGCTGCTGCCAAGCGAAGAAGCAGAAGCAGTGACTAAATAACGCCTCGAGGTACGGATATAAGCCAGCGCTGTTTGGTTACACATGTTGTCCAGTCGGGAATCAGATTAAAGAGCTTCTGCAGCCCAAATAGGACCCCTGGGGGAGCAGCTCTGGGAAGATGGCGCTTAAGTAATCCAATAAGAGGGAACAAAATGCTCAGCGCTATGCTCTAATAAAGCGCACGCCAGTGTGTCGACAATCCAACCTTGCACCGCGCAGATGGAGTGGTTGGGGGGGGGGAGATAAGCCATTCAATATGTTCCAAAACGCCGGACAAAGACGTTGCCCTGAGTTATCCATCGCGCTTTGAGTCAACAGGTATAAAAGTTGCTAATGAATATTGCTGCCAATGTGCCACAGTTGGCTCAGCCGGCCAATTCCAAATTTGCTGTAATCGAGTGTTAGGAGGAACAGGTCGGCTCTTAGCCTAAGTGCTATTACGCCTCGCCGGCTTCGGGCCTTCTAAAAGCTACTTTGGTAATTTCCTTAACAGATCTGATTTCTTTTTTTGGCAAAAGGGGATAACTATTGGACTTTCTACCACCCACTTAGATGTTACCGCTAACATGTGGGCCGCATTCTGTGACAATGCCGAAAGAATGAAACAAATGACAGTTGATGGAAAGCACCCATTAGAAAAGCAAAGCAAACCCTGACGGGTGTTCTTCCTGACCTTTATTGAGCCAAGGCGAACATTTCGCAATGCGAAAAATCTTACGGCCGCGCCACCAAAAGTACGAAGACTGAAATGATGATGATCAACTGAATTTATTCACAAATGGGAAAGCCTGTTTCATTGAACATAAAGCTCACATGAAG